TACAAATTAAACAAAATAAATATAAAAAAAAACAAACAAACAAACAAAAAAACCACAAAACTAGCAAAGACTAGAGGGACCTGACTTGTGACAGACGCAAAAATGCGACAGGATTAAACATGTTTTGTGAGACCTCAACCCTCCATTATACATCTAGACAATGTGGAATAAACAAACACGCAGCAATACGCATAGTAAAACTCAGTTTAACAGAAGTCCCAGTACTAGTCCGATGTTAGAACAGAAGAAACTTAGCAAAATGACAATGATTAACATACATGATCAAAGGACTACTTTCAGTTACTGACATGCCACCTCCAGACCTCAATTAAACTGATCAAACGATTATATGTCTTTCATCATATGCAAATCGACCACAATCCCTCCCGTTAGAGGTTTAGTATCGTGCCATCATAAATTAAACGAGAAGAACATAACCCGTATCATGCCAATAACTGGTTTTAGAATACATGTATTTATTTCCGATGCAAAGACCCTATGAGTATGAGTGAATCAATATTAATTCCAAAAATGACATCTTTAATTACTTGACAACAGTATCGTAAATATATCCTTTGTGAATAAGACTGTTTAAAGGTTTGGTTAACTTTTGAGGTGAATGACAATATTTTTTGTGCTTTTTATAGAATATTACCATAAAATGTTGGATGTGAAATACCAGAACGTAAAAGAAGTCTGCACGTTGATTTGTGTTTGTGAATGATGTCCTTGTACCGAGGATAAAATTTAGTGAAAGGTTTTGGCAAGTTTGTGATATCGAAATCCTTGGTGTAATCTTTTTTAGAAATTCAGAGCTCGAGATTTCTTTCGTAAAAATCAAATACGTTGTTATTGTATTCATTTACCGATCACGTGCATTAACGTGAAAGATTCATTTATTATAGGTTTAGGTATAACTTCGCACCAAGGTCCAATTATAAGTCGAAATAAGACCAGCTAACCTAGATATAAACGTTAGTAAACATTGTCCAGTTGTATTAAAAATACTGTTTTGGCATGAAGCAAACAAATAATGAATTTGTTTCGATGTATGCAAAATACAAGTAACATTGAAAGTATTTTTTGATTAAAACCATAAAATGAGTGCTATCATGTTTTTCTCTTGTTTCGTGACATTTTTACCGCAAAAAATGCAGATAGATTATTTTGATCACAATCATAAACGACTTATTCGGAATAATTATTTTATCTCTTGTTTCTGGCAATACAATTTTGTTCTTCAAAATTCGAGAATCATGATATAATATCCCCTCATTTAATTGCGTGATGGTTTAAACCATAGAAAATAGAAGGTGCGAATGTTTGGCAATTAAATAGTGTAAACGAAAGGGTGTATATAAATGTTAAAATTCACGAAATGGAACACAGAGAGCACAAACTCGTAATGTACATGCAGCCTTTGGCTGTTTTCTGCTCTATGGTCGGGTTGTTGTCTTTTTGACATATTCCCCATTTCCTTTCTCAATTTTATTGTGTGAACCAACCACACTGTATATATTTTGTCGATAATCATCCACACAAATGGTGAAACAAATTGATATAAGTAAATGTGGTATGAGTGCCAATGAGACAACTCTTCATCCAAGTCACAATTTGTAAAAGCAAACAATTATAGGTCAAATTACGGCCTTTAACACGGAGCCTTGGCTCACACCAAACAGCAAGCTATAAAGGGCCCCAAAAATGACCAGTGTAAAACCATTCAAACAGGAAAACCAACGGTCTAATCTATATAAAAAACGAGAGACGAGAAACACTTATGAACCACACCAACAAACGACAACCACTGAACATCAGGTTCCTGACTTAGGATAGGTGCAAACACATGCAGCGGGTTTAAACGTTTTAATAGGCGCCAACCTTCAACCTAACCTTAAACAATAGTGTTACATCACAACATAGAAAGACACACTATAAAATATCAATTGAAATGGCTTAACACAATCAAAAGACACATTAACAAAAAAAGGTGAACATACACTGAACGAATAAATTTGATCTATGGCACAATGTAAATAAAAAAAAATAAAAAAAGAGGGGTTAGATGTAAAACAATATCAGAAAGACAACCATAACCGTGGACAAAATGCCGCAAAAAAAAAATAACGTACACATGTAAATAAAAATAATTTTGTTGTAAGGTATACATGGAGTACGGAAATATTTTTTACAAAATAAATAATTTTGTTGTTCATAGTACGAGAACAGAAGTGAAAATTGGCTTGTTTTAAAAGTGTGATAATTTTTTTGTGCATTAATACATTTATCACGGATACTGCCTCTTTATTGTAGTGATGAATTAACAACATTTTAGGTTGATTGTTTTGAAAGTTAAACTCTGCGTTTAAAACGTTTTTCTTTGTGTATTTGAGACTGATAAACGGAGGAAACAATTGTTTCTTTCTATAAGAAATAAAATAATGTAAGTAGACCAACATTTGAAACAACAAAGGAGAGTATTTAGTTTAACATAATTTTAGCCCTTGGAGTGGATATAAAAATAAGCTATTTAGAAACCAAAAACCGTAGAAACGGATGGAAAATTTCATGAGACTAGATGATCAGTAACACAAATTGATTAAAACCAGATTTAGCGAAAACATGAATCAATTTTTTGCACTTGCACTTTGCCTGAGTAAATGTTTATAATTGTTACACATGAAACAAAATTTGCACAAATGGAAAGTAAGTTATAATGTCTTATCAATTACAATGAGAATAAATTAAATTAAATTTAATTAAATAGGACAAACGAAGAGTATCAGAAAAAAGGATCAGTACTCATATTTAAGTCGTCAGTAATAGTTATCCTATGAGGACGCGGTGTGTCAGTGTAAGATCATCCCGATGGCCGGAGGCCAGAGGGTTATCTAACACTGACACACCAAGTCCGAATGGGATAACTATTTTACATCCCACCTGTTCTAGGTTAGATAAAAAACCATTTACGCTTCATAAAATCTAGTTTAGAACGCCACACAATCATTATTATATACTTTATATATCACTATATGGTATATACCCTTTATGAGCCCTGAACACAATGTTTAAATATGTTAAAATAACATTGATTTGTATCCAGAGGTGCTGGTGTAGGGCTATGACTCGTGTGTCTATATGCTAAAGGTCTTGAGTTCGATTTCCAGCATAGACACTGAATTTTTCAACATAAATTTTGATAGTTAGTCTTTTCCGTATAAATATTTCTAAGTTTTAGTATATATCGACATTCCCGCCAAAATGTTACAGAACAAAGGAAAGCATGCAGAACAAAGAAACTCAAGCTAGGGTGATCTGGTAGGGGTGATCCGGCTCAGATCACCCCTGGTAGAACAAAGGAGCTGGGATGTAAATAATAATGATACATGTTGTATTGGTAATGTGTCAGATTATCGGGAGAGTACATTAAAGTTGACAGAGTTAAGATGGCAATAATCCAACATAATTCACGAAAACGGTTAAGTGGTTAATTGTTCCATATTGTATTATACATGCATAGGCATTTTGAAGAACAATCATAATTTGTGATATATACTGGCGTGTTCATTCATCTAGTTTTTTTCTGTTTAAATGATTTCGTTTTTCGACAATTCTAAATATTTCCAAAAATAGATTTAACGTTATGGCATGTTTAAAACAAGATTCTCGAAGTGCATTTAAGAACGGAAAATACTAAATACAAGTAATTAGATCTTATAGGCAATAAAATAAACAGACATATTACGTAGATAGAAGGAGTTTTCTAAAAAGAAAAGACAATTGGGTAAACTATTCCTTGGCCGCTTCATAACTCCCTAATGTATCTAAAAAATTAGGTCGAATATAAAAATAAATGACATAAATCATTCGAAATTATTTCAGTATTATTTTGTCAGCAACACTTATAAAAAAACAGACACATTTGATAAAATGTACATAATGACCAGACGATTATATGTTTTGTGTCATGCAGACCATTTCATGAAATAACATATGCGTAAGTATTGAAACAACTAAACATAATTTCGATGAACTACTTCAATATGTACGACAGTTGATTTTCGTATGTGTGTTTTAGAATTTGTTTGACCTGTTTGTTTTGGCTTTATTTATCGTTAGTTCCTGTGTTTTACTTTCATTTTATAAATATGAATATTTTTGGTACAGATTTTACGTTATGCCATATCTGGTCCAGTACTTGCAAAGTAGATTATAGAACTACAAACATGCTATAAATGAGAACTAGACTTGAGCCGTTTGATAACACAGAGAAGAAACAAAGTTCTTTCTTTGAAATGAAAGAATATATACATTTATAAAACTAATAATCGGTTTATTTATATACATAAACATACACATAATATCACGAGCAGTGAGTAACCTAAGCTAAAAACAAAAGTTTCATCTTTTTTGAGATCAAATAAAATAGCGGACTTTGGAAGAAAAAAAAATGAAAGTACTCGTGCAATTCATTCAAGTAACATATGTATAATTCGTTAGAAATTAAGGGTATATACGCGCAATCTGTTTTTTATAAGAACTGTTGTAAAGTGATGTTCAAAACTCTTTAATTCATTTAGATTACACCACCCCAATAAAAACAAAAAAGACAACAGTATGAAAACCAATCCGAACGAGACAGGGGTGTATGTAGGATGAACATCAGATCGTCAACATGTATGTAGACGGTAACACTTTTGTAGATCCAAATACAACCGTTCGTCCTCGTAGCCTTACTGGAACACAACGAGTACCCAATGGAATAACGTTTAAAAAATTATGGAAAGTATTCAAAGTTATGTGATATATGAAACCCAGTAAAGAGTATTTTTGGGTCATTGAAAAACTACGTTAATTTAAGTAAGCTTCATTAGAGTATTACTAGTAAATTGTAAAAGTTGTGATATGTACACCCTATATGATGGGGCAACAGGAACTTTACATTCAGAAGTCGATTATCCCTCTATTGATTGAACTGACATGAGTATCCAAATTTTACATTGAGTTTCATTGTTTATTAGACTTTGACAAAATTGTGATGCAAGGTATACAAAATGGAAAATGCAAGCAAACTACACAAAAAGAAGAAAAAACAAAGAAAGACGAAACAACTACAACATGTCAACAGTTTTCAACCATCAATCAATCAATCAACAATTTTCATATGTCTACTCTATATGTCAAATGGTATAAAAACACATATACAGCGATCCGATGTCTTCATAAGTGTACTGGTGTAAAGGTCTATTTAGAATGGGGTACATTAAGCACTGGCTATTACAGATCTGCACTAAGATGTATATAGAAACAACATTAAGATATGAAATAGAACAGCCACTGCCAATATTCCGTGTACACAGGAATATGGTATCGGATGTAACAAGTTTTCTTTAGACCAAACTCCCCTGTTTAGCTTTATCCATTAACTACTAAAAGGTACATAAAAGAATAATCAATCAAAATATATACTGAAACAGTTATCTTATTTCGGCAACGACAGAATAATTGATATGAACAAAAACCCAGTTACAATAAATCAAACATTACTATATGAAACAAATGCTAGCAGTAACTGCTACCTAGCGTAAAGTACATAACCTTGATATTTTAAATCAGGCCGTCCTACTCTTCAATGTCGGGGCCGTACTTAACAACAACATATTTTATGCAGCAACGGCATAAAATTTATAGGAAAGCGAGATATTATGCATGACCAAGAAACAATCATATGAACAATGTCAATGCAGAAAAAAAGGAACATTTAAAACTAGAAGCCTAATATAAATATACACACTACTTTAAAACATATAAAATGAATGAACTTTTAGCTAGACAATAACTGTGAATATCAAGAAGGGATGCTACTACAAAGGAGTAGCACACACATGTCTCTCATAAAATAACATGTAGCATCTTAAAGGTCATTTGTAATACAAAATCCTGCATCACTAATCATAAGCAGTCATTTCATTTAGGGTAAATTACACTAAAACACGTTAGATAAATGTTATATGGCTCCTTAACGAATTCCAATATCAATTGTTAGACTTTAGTTAAGTTAGTCTATTTTTGAAACCATTATATCATTCCAAATTGTTCTACGAGGTATTGAAGTCAATTGAAAATAAGTCCGATGAACTGATGGATGACTAAAACGACATTTCCTGTTCTGTAGTGTGAGGAATAGACGGTAACGTGCATGGATGAGATGATTCAATGTGTATATTGCAAGAACAAATTGTAAGCTTAACGCAATCACCACATACAACATGACTGCATGGAATTAATACATGTGTGAACTGGTTTTGTTTACATATGAAACAATTTAACTTTGACTTCAGCTCCATGTTTTCCCTCTGCAGTGCCAAAACACCTACAATTATAAGCGAACGTTACTGTAAATATATGTAATACAAATTGTGATATTCGAACGAGTTTTTGTTTTATCATGCATGCAACTAAAAGTATTTATCAAATAGACATATATTATTGATTTTGCATGTTTTGCTGTTATTCTGTTTGAGGGTCTTCGTCCAACAGACTTATTTCCGACATTTCTTAAAGAACTCATGATTCTCTTATTTACTTCTCATGGAGCAGAATTTACACAAACTAACACACCTTCTTTTTGTTAGTTATGTCGTTGATTGTTTTTCTTTTTTGGAATTGCATTAATGAACAATTAACAACAAGCATACACAGGCAAATTTTGTTCACGTGAGTTTCACATGAATTTCACGTGAATTTTTGCTCACGTGAATATCACATGAATTTTTCATGCGAATTTCACGTAAACAGTTTTCACGTAAAATTCACATGACATTCACGTGAAACTCACACGATCTGACTTACGCGAATTTAATGTGAACTTGTTAACGTGAAACTCATGTAAAATTCATGTGAAATTCATGTGAATTTCACATAGACTTTTTTCACGTGAAATTCACGTGATCTCACTCACATTAAATTCACATGATTTGACTCACGTGAATTTCACATGATTTGACTAACGTGAAATTCACGTGAAATTCATTTGATCTGACTGAGGCTAATTTTTTATATAATGTGCTTACGTGGTTGGTTTTGCACACAAGATAAAATAACTGTTTAAAATAATTAAGTGTGTGCACTAATTATTGCCATTTTGACATAATCGCCAAAATGTAAAAAAAAAATTATTGAAGAAGATTTTATGTTGTGTTTTTTTTTTTAACATTGAGTCTATGGGAGTAACATTCTGCTTTAACAGTGATTAATGAAAAATGACAAAAAAATCTTTAGGGTAGGCTATTATTAAGACTAAAAAGTAGGGTAGTTTAGGGTAACGGTGAGTGGAACCATGCATATATCATAGGCGGATCCAGGGGGCTTTGCCCCTCCCCTTTTGTGGGAAAAATTTTAGTTGATTATATAGGGAATCACTGAAGCCCCTTTAGGTCAGTTAGTGCCCCCCCCCCCCCCCCCCCCCCCCCCCCCCCCCCCCCCCACCCTATGAAAATTTCTGGATCCGTCAATGTATATTTTTATTTGGCTTATTAACAAGTATGTTTTAAGAAGATAATTAAAGATTGTCTAAAATAATTATTTGTTAATTTATAGCGAATGATTGGTTAAATTTACAACTTTGATAGATTTGTTATTACTTATCAAAAAAAAAAACTACAGTCTTGAAACATGTAAAACCAGGAAATTTACACCTAAAAAAGCTGCATAATTTTCAAATATTTTTAATTATCTCTTAAAATTTATAGATCTACGATAAACATATTTTTAAGTCCTATATAGTGTCCAAGGGTAATATAGTTTCGACAAAATGTATTAAAAATGTATAATGTTTGTTGCGTTCTGTATGTAACGGTGTCCTCATAATGTTTGTTTCTTAAATATGTCATATATTTTCAAAAATTCCAATTTGTGTTTTATTTAACTTATGTTTCACTTTTTGATTATTGTTACTTTATATTTCATTATTGAAATACAGAGGAGTCATTAAAAAGCTGACTTTGAGACACTATGTTATGAACGCAACAGAAAAGATTACTTGATTTTTTTTCTGAATTTTTGGATAGAATACTCCATCGACTATCTAACAGGTATGTATTCAAAAAAAAAAAAAAATTTCTTCAAGAATACATACATTCTGTTATTATTTGAACCCATTTATTTTTTCCCATGTTGTCACAGCTCTGTGCCCAATACTGAATTTCTCACATGTATATGTAACTGGTATGTATATTTGTTACAGTATTAATAGTCCAGATGGTATAACAATAACGAAAATACTGAATTCCAAGGCAATTTCAAAAAAGGGAAGTCCATGCATATGGTAGTGGCTGCTGGGTTTCACTATTTGTATTATTAAGCTTTACAATGTATATTTCATAGGGTAGAAGACTTGGATGTTTCATAAATTGTATACAGATGCCTTTTGTTACAATGTTTCTGTCCATCATATGTTGGTTGGCCATGTTAGATCACATTTTAATGGTTCAGCGACTGCTTGAAAAAAAAGTTTAGGTTTTTTTGCTTTGTGAATTTCTTTTTTTTATATTATGAATAAATTAGGATATCTGTATTTGGAATATTGCCTCCTTGCAATGTTTATATGTAAACGTACATGTTTGTGAGACAGGGTTCACCTGACCTTACTTCATGGAGCTGTCAAGGTAAAAGTTACATGATTAACACATGTCGGTCCTTTTCTCAGATATAGTAAGCAGAACTTGAGTAGATCAACTGTATTTGGTGTTTAGAATGAACAATGACCGCATTTCCATGGTTCATTGGTCAATGTTAACTTTTATTCCTTGTAGGCAATATGTCAAGTATATATGATGTATGGAATGATTGTAAGTTGTACATGTCTGTCTGGACAGAGTTCATCTGACCATGCATGATCTGATTTTGATGGTTCATTGGTCAATATTAAGATTTATTAATTTAGTCTGTTTGGTGTATACTATACATGCTACATGTATAATCAATTAAAAGATCAGCTTTTTTAGCTCACCTGGCCCAATGGGCCAAGTGAGCTTTTTCTCATCACTTGGCGTCGTCGTCATCGTCCGTCGTCGTCCGTTAACTTTTACAAAAATCTTCTCCTCTGAAACTACTTGGCCAAATTTAACCAAACTTTGCCACAATCATCATTAGGGTATCTAGTGTAAAAAATGTGTCTGATGACCCCGCCGACCAACCAACATGGCTGACATGGCTTAAAATGGAACATAGGGGTACAATGCAGTTTTTGGCATATATCTTTGAAAGTAAAGCACTTAGAGAAAATTTGACATGTGGTAAAATATGTTCATAAGATTATGATCTATCTGTCTGTTGTTGGGTTGCTGCCTTTGAATTAGTAATTTTAAGGAAATTTTGCAGTTTTTGGTTATTATCTTGAATATTATTATACATAGAGATAAACTGTAAATAGCAATAATGTTCAGCAAAGTAAAATCTACAAATAAGTCATCGTGACCAAAATGGTAAATTGACCTGATAAGGAGTTTTTGCCCTTTAAAGTCAAATTTAACAATTTTTCGTAAATTTTTTAATTTACAAAAGTCTTCTCCTGAAACAACAGAGACAAATAAACCAAACTTGGCCACGGTCATCATTAGGGTATGTAGTTTTTAAAAACATGGCAGACATGGCTAAAAATAGAACATAGAGGGAAAATGCAGTTTTTGACTTATATCTCTAGAACTAAAGCGAAAGTATAACGGTTGCATTATTTCATGCATCAATTGTAAATAAAAATATCTGGTGAGCGACACAGGTTCCTAGGAGCCTCTAGTTTGGTGTATGCAATAATTGTACATGTTGTAAGGTGCACATGTCTGTCTGGCTTGGTTTATCTGAACTTGACCTGAATATTTGCTTGACAGTATATTTTCATGAATCATTGGTAATGTTAAGTTTATTTGATACTTATCGTAAACTTATAATTATTCTTATATCTTTGGGACAAGCACCATAAAACAGTGGGGACATAAAAATACCTGGAGTCCGTCAATCCCTTTGGCATTATAAGCGCTCTCACTTGCATGTCTTGTACAATTCTTGTCAAATTTTTAGGAAACTTATTTTGATAGGTTATATCAACAGTGTCTGACGAGTTTTAAAATCAGTGCCAATCAATCATTTTTAAAAGAGTTATGCCCCTTGGAAACATTAATTATTTGGAAAATTGCATTTTTAGGTCTCTTGTGTACAATTCTTGCCAGAATTTTATGAAATTAATATTAAATAGGTTTATATCGTCAGAATGATCAGAGCATTTTGATTTTCATCTGTAATGATTTCAAATTCCAGGTTTCATGGCAAATTTCAACCATTATAAACCTCCACAACCTCCATAGCAGAGGTAATCAAAAAGAAGTGCATCAACAAACAACAACTATTAATATTCCACTCCAGTTAATCCAACACACAATATACATGTATGATTATATACATAGATATAAGAAGATGTGGTATGAGTGCCAATGAGACAACTCGCCATCCAAGTCACAATTTATGAAAGTATATATATATATATGTACCCGGTAAGTTTGGATATTAAATTTATGTTATCATTTCTGCTTGAATGGTAAGGCAATATTTAATTTGATGTATATTTTACAAAACAATATATGCTGTTCTTTTTATTATTACAGCAAATGTATTCCAAGAGTTTATAGCTGATTATGCAACTACAGGATTTTATCATTGAAGCAACATCTTAGAAGGACAAGTGCAAATGTATGAAGGAAGCCTTGTGTACAAATACATGTAGCAATTACATGTAGGAGAGAACACTTAAACATTATTAACATGTAGTCATGATATGGGAGTGGTGCATTCTAGAAATCTAAACACCTGGAATTGAATATTGTGTATATTTTTTTTCAACCACAAGTACTTTCAGCATATAATACAATTCAAATTCAAATTATTGTGTCAACATGACAGTTACTGTCTAAAAATGGAAAATGCTTGTTTTAAAATGATTTTGATATAAATATCTTAAATAACAAGAATTTTTAGCTTATTGTGCAGCCAAACTTTGAGATCTTTTAATGGTATATGCCTGTTGTTTGTCAACATTAATTTTCTTTTTGACTTAGCCTTAAGACCAGTGTTAAAATGAAAAACTGAAAACCATATATGAAATAAGAAGGAAATGGTTGTAAATAACAGCAAGACTTTCAATATGGTATATCAAATATTTTTCACAGAACTTTCTATTTCAGTTTATAAATACAATGAGATATAAGGTATAAATCAATCAGACAGTAATACATCAACAAAAACACCTGAAAGGCATTAGGGGCTAACATACAGTCCTCAACAATAGACAGGTGTCTAAACAATATGTCATGATCTGTTTAATTGACCAGATACATCAGTATGTGGCAGGGTGAACTACCTTTTTTCTTCAAAACTCTCATAAGAAGAATTGGCATCTTTTGCAAGTAAGACTTTTCCATAATGTGATTGGAATATCTCAAAACTGATGAACACAAAAAGACTTATGCATACATATTAAAAATGAAATATACATCAGTGCATACATCTTTTATAAATGAATCACCTTCCATACATCAAATTAAAAAAATATTGAGACTTGAACACAACCAAAATGTTCTATGAGTGAACTATGGTGCCCTGGATATTTGCTTGCCTTCTTGGTTTCATTGCATCATATCTGCTGCATTGAAGATATTGTGAGTTGGAGTTGATGAATAAATATTATTTGTATTGTTTAGGACCAAGAATTTTAAGATACAAAGAGAAAGTAAAATAGAATGGAAGTATGAATACATCGTCAAGACCAAGAAGAATATTTATATATATCAAAATAGAATGTGTACTAGATTAGCATTTACTTATCTAAAATATGCTCAAAAACTGTGAAATTTGTGTTATTGATAATCAATTCACCTTAATTTCATTTAAATAAAATAATGTGAAAGCTCGATTCACATTAATTTCACGTGAAAAATTGAACGTGAATTTCACTTGAAAGCTCGAATCACGTTAATTTCATGTGAAAAATTCCACATGAAAGCTCGATTCACGTGAAATTCACGTAAATTTAACGTGAGTTTCACGTGAAAAATTTCACGTGAGTTTCATGTTTAAGCTTGTTTGAGGTGAATCTCACGTGAAAAATTTCATGTGAAATTCACGTGATTTTCACGTGATTTTTACGTGAACAAAATTTGCCTGTGTATATCATACACCAATGCATATCTTGGTTCATGTATGGTCTTTAATGACACAAATAACATTTTCCTATTATCAACATCCCAATCTTGAGTAGTTAGTTACAAAATGTCTTAACAAGTCTAAGATTCGTTTAAGTCGATATGATATCAATTTCAGTGGACATTAAAGGAACTATCATAACAAAACGATATGCCAAATGCATATGTTTGACAGTATCAAAAAGACATACCTTTGAAAGCATCCAAATGGGACTTAACATTTCCTTATTTAAATAGAGGGGCGGAAGATACTGAAGATACAGTCAAAGTCATAAGTCGAATGTAAACTGACAACCACATGGCAAAAAAAAAAACAAAAAAATAAACGAAAAAACGACCAAAAACAAAGCAGTCTACATAAAACAACATAGACAACCAACGACCGAGAGATATGGACCCAACAAAACACCGGGTGATCCCAGGTGCTCTAGAATTGTAGGCGTATCCTGCTCCACGTCGCCACCCGTCTTGTGAATTATTTGGGTCACTTGTATCATAATCTAAAAGCACATTAAACTCAACACGATATGGAAAATGTGCACAGTTGTTAATCATATTGATTTCATATATCTACCACAAATGTGAATAGGCGCCTGAAGTGTGTTGAAGACCTTATTGTTAAATTTCTGTTTCATTTAACTTTCATATAATATTTTGTAAAAAAAAAAGGAGACGCGGATTGATGTCCAATGATTCAACTACTCCTGTGCACCATAGATCAATAGTCAAGGATTAGAAAAATTTTGTTTGTCTAATTATGACATGTTATTGATTTATTGTAAATTTAATTCTTCCTTGCATGATATCATTTCATTCATAGTTATTATACGCAAAATATGATTTACATACTAGTGTATATGTCACTATTTGAAAAACCTTAACAGCAAAAAACTATTAATTTTTACGAATTTTCAGATTTTCAGATCCCGATACCAATTCACTATCTACTCACGTGAATGTGTAGTTTCGATAAATAAGTCATCGTTTTGCCTATTAGTATTACACTGGCTGCGCAGTTCACCAGCTGATCTTGACTGACTGACGAAGTTAAAATGTGCAAATGTTGACTGTGAGTCTAGTTCATCAGTTCGTGTCCTTAATTGTTCTCTGTCCTGAATTGTATCATCAGTCCATGGTATTGCCATTCCTGTAAAAAACTATTATTACAACTAAATCATCTATCATCATAAATATTTCAGTTTATTTAATTTCTATTAAAATTAGGCTAATTGGGCAAAAAACCGTCTTAGATCATCTGTATGAGTCCCTATTTTGTTCCGGACATATGTCTTCTAGATAAGAAAAAAAGCAAACCCATATAGTAAATTCACTGCGAATAGATAATACGACCACGTGATACTATAACATCATATATGGCACACTTGTTGCATGTTGATTAAAGAGCGTACTTCATACACAATTAAAGTTAGTTTTAGTATTGAAATATTATAATCCGAGTTTAAATGTTGAGTTATTCATGTTTTTGTTATCCTAAGTCATAGATTTACATACCCGTATTTGACACAGTTTTTCGGAGTTTCCACTTTTTAAATGCCTTTCAACTTTGTTTTTGAGATGGCCCTCCTACTGTTTTGAGTCATGCGCCACTGATGAATCTTGTGACAACGAAACCCTCGTTTTAGTATTAAAATATTATAATCCGACTTTAAATGTTGAGTTATTCATGTTTTTGTTATCCTAAGTCATAGATTTACATACCCGTATTTGACACAGTTTTTCGGAGTTTTCACTTTTTAAATGCCTTTCAACTTTGTATTTGAGATGGCCCTCCTACTGTTTTGAGTCATGCGCCACTGATGAATCTTGTGACAACGAAACCCTCGTCTGGCAACGTCTGGCATACTAAATTATGAATGATATTTGATCAATTATTTTCGAATGTCCCGTCGTATTCTGTTGTTGCGTAGATGAAGAACCAGAATGTGTATCTACAGTATATATAGTAAACCAACCTTTAAAGAGAATTGATTGTTTGCTAGAACCATTTTTAAACGTCTCCTTTTCAAAGTATGACGTTGTGCCTGGCAGCGGTTCAATAGTTCTTAAACAGATGGAGAACTTATGGTATAATGTTCAATAAGAAAAGTAAGAACTTAAAAGTGTCAACGATGTAACAACCACATAACACCTTTCATCCCCTATAGAAAAAGAATTAAAAGGAAATACCCCTGAAATAATTCTACTCAATGTTCCTTTTCATTAACTTATTCTATAGAATTAATTTGAAAAAACCCTATATTAAGAATATCAAACTTACTCATTAGAAACAAGTTGACAAGAATTCCTGTATATACGTTCCCAAACACCTTTCACTTTGATTTCATCCTGGTAAAGAACAGTTTCCGATAAAAAAAAAAAAAAAAAAAAAATATGTATCTTATTTTGTTGTTGGTTAACACAAAAACAACTCCCGTCGAAGTGACATCAACCTGAAATTTTAAATACTGTTGGTTAATGTAATTTATGTTCGTTTTTCTAAGTGTCCGATTTGGTTAACGCAAAACAAAACGGTAAAGGATGAAGAGAAAATGAACAGGCGAATATTAAAATCGTGGGAGGGGATGGACACATTAATTTTCAGTGTTAAATTGAAAAGGATCGAATTGTTAATATACAACTATTAATACATGCAGTTACAAATTATTACAAAAAATATTTGTACATGGATTTCAACATAATAATGGAAAATTAGCATACACAATTGATCATTATCATGGTTATTACAATTATGAAAGCCCGTAAAATTCAAGTCGACAATTAAACTATTTAAAATGCGAAAAAGAAACACTTAAATAAAATTACAAATTTTTGTTTACATATATAAATACACATATATTTGTAAGGTTGATCATACGAGGACAATGTAGTTTATCTCATTTGTTCAACACGTATAGTAACAAAATGAACTATATCTAAAATAGCTCACAATGTAATGTCAATAAGTGTATGTATCAATTTACTCGATAATAAAACTACGGTTTCAAATTGATAATAGAACTTTCTAACAATTTGACGAAAGGTGCGTACGGTTGAAGAATCATACGTAAGACCCGGTTGAGGGATCCTTTATTTTGACTCTTTTCAAAATATGACATATCTATGTCTATGTAATCATAATCAAGGCTGTCATGGGACTTAGATGGCGTTTTGCCTCAATGGACCAATACACTGCATGCATTGAATTTTCATGTGACATAGGAACTTCGAGGTAAAAATATATCACCAGGGGAAGGAGATAATTCTACAAAATTTGCTTAACAAAGACCTCGTCAGAAGAAACAAATATCACTAATAGTATGGGTGCGTTCAAATCCCCCTCTAAAAAAAAATATACGAAAAAATACATCTTTGCATTATTTAACCTAAGAATTTGTCCCTCCCCCCTTCAAAAAAAAAAATAACGTTTAAAGAGATTCCCCGTCTCCCACTGTGTAATACTGCATGATTACCTTGTGTTGAGTACATACACCCGAGTTTGTTTTTATTTAAGCTTACCTATGAAATCGTTCTTCAGCGTGTAATTGCGTTTTTTTCCAAGCATGTTTACTGTTAAATCAGCAGAATTGAAATTAATAAAATATGTAGTGCAAAATTGTTTATGCATTGTATTGAGGATTGTTCCCGGATTGATAATTCGTGTTCATCTGTTACTGCGCATGCTTATTTTTTTCACTTTTGTACACATTTGTTATCAATAAGTATCCTCCAATTCATTTTGCAGAATATTCATTTTCATTCTGTCTTGTGCAAAATCATTTTCAGTTCATACCAGGCAAAAACCTCATGACGCCCCCCGTTCCCGCACCTAAGATGTAGGTTATACGCCTATGAAACGACAAATTAAGCACGCGAAAGCCTGTTAAAAGATATTTATAGGTCGTTTGTTTCCATAACAATCAAAATATTACGCAAGTGATATCGACTTTAAACGTAATGGTCCGGGACCAGTGAAACTAAGATTTTCTTGATTTTATAAAAACAGAAATAAGTAGTTTGTCCTATGATCTGGTCTTTAAAGTAAAAAAATAATATTATGGAATCAATATTGAAAAATATTAGCATATATTAGAATACAGATGTAAAACACTTTTTGTTATAAACAGTGAGGAATAAGTTATTATTATTTAAAGAAAAATTATGTTGTAATAATCAAAAATATCATTTTATTTTCATATTTATCATTCATTTTGGTTATGTATATATATTGCTAGTAACTGTTTATTAACTCGGAATCTGAATAATGATAACTCTGCATACTCTGCACGTACATCAAGGGGTGATGTCAAAGTAATATTGATTCTTTATATCATTCAATATCTGCATGGGGATATGGATTTATATTTCCTGTTAGTGCTTTACATGATAGGAGCCCGTATCCTCTGTAAAGCCCGTATAACAATTCAATTATGCTGGATTTTCCTGATTTTTACATTAATAACCGTTTTGATTTTTTTGGGGCTCACATGGAACATTGGCATATACCCTGTCATGGTACAAATTAACCAATGAAACTAACCGACTGACTAGAATATTTCACTTAAATTGATAAAACTTTGCTTTATTTCTGTTTTTGAATATGATTTGGTGTTTACGATATGACCATTTTACCTGAATGGAAGTTTCAGTTTTTTTAACCGATGAAGAAACAATAGGGGGTGAGGAGGCTTTTTTCATTGACGGATGCATGCTATTTTTTTTTAAAAAGGTAATTTTTATAAATTTCCTGTTACAAAACTTTGAATATTTCGAAAAACTAAGGATTTTCGTATCCCAGTAATAGATTACCTTAGCCGTATTTTGCACAACGTTTTGGAATTTTGGGTCCTCAATGCTCTTCAACTTTGTACTTGTTTGGCTTTATAACTATTTTGATCTGAGCGTCACTGATGAATCTCTTATGTAGACGAAACGCGCGTCTGGCGTATTATAGTATAATCCTGGTACCTTTGATAACTATTTACGAGATCTTACATTTAAAATCAACAACCATATAATATATTGCTCTTTTCATCAGATTCTTTTTTTTTTATCTTCAACATCATAGATAAAAGACAAAACAACCTAACCCTACATTTAAGGATATATGGTATTTTTTTTATATATATGTCTGTATTATATTTTTTCAAGGAATGTGAATATACTGTAGTTCAAGACAGTTTTTATTTTATTTTTTTTCGTGGTGGGGGGGGGGGGGGCTATTTTGGTCAATCTATATAATGTAAGAGGACGGGATAATAGTCATTTAAGTGATAACAAAATATATTTAAACCTATTGGTATTCAGAAATTTAGTTTTATACATGTTTCTGAAAGTACACTGTGCCTTGTTTCTAATAATACTGATATCAGTGAAAAAAAATCATTTAGGAGACATCTCGGATTTTGCAACTGTACAAAAAGAGCCTTCTTAAAATTTTAATTTACAAAACATGCAAATGTGTGTCTGATGTGATATTTCTTGCAAATTTTTAATTTAAACAAAATATCCGAAGGAAAGGTGCAAATTGTACAGCAAGCAATACAAACGGCTAATGGCGCAACGTGAAGATAAAAGCTTATTCTGTTCTTTATAATCTTTTCATAAATACTAAGATGGAGCTGATTTAACAGAAAAGAAAACAAACAGCTCAGCAACCATCTAAATATTGATGAAACGGACAGTTAAACTCGGCATGAGGAAAGCGGCAGGTAAAAATTGTGGAAATTAGCTTGAGAAAATAAACGAAAAAAAAAATTGATATTTGTTGATTATGCATAGTAGTAGACAAACTTCAAATATTATAATGTTTTGATTCGAAATGAAAGACAATTTTGTGTACGATTTTTTTCACCTTGGTACCTGTTGGACATAAAACTCATTACGTGTTTCGATACTTATACTTTTCATAAGCCCATTGGTGGCCTTGAGCTGTTTTCTGATCTTTGTTCGGGTCGTTATCTCTTAGACACATTCAACATTTCCATTCTCAATTTTATTTGCTTTGGAAAGTGGAGATTGATTATTTAAAAACAAATTGAAGATTGTCTTTTGTCGGTTGTTTTTGGTCTTTCGTTATAAATGTTTACCTCAGAATTCAATCAGTAAAACTTCAGAAAATAAAAGAAATAATGGATTTTTTTCGATTTTCAGTTACAGTTCAATGAAACACAGTTGCATGCAAAAGTTTATAAAAATCTGTAAGTTAGCCCATTTATTGTATCTTGACCATAAACGTCTACAGGAAAGTAAATGTATAAACTTTGCAAGTGTCTTGTCCTACATGAAAATATTGAATTACGTTTTTTTAAATGTGAATAAATGACTACACAATGAATGGCCTTCTCTTTATACGGTGGTAACATTACAACTTTTATCCATCATCTCAAAACTAACGCTATAACAATTTGTATATTTGCTCTTAATCAGGGCCGAAATAATTTTGATTTTATTTGGTTTTTGGTTTGAGCGTTCTAAATTAAAAAAGGCGTAGAAAACGCGCCTCGGATGCACCAAATTTATAATGTGTTCATTTCATTTACCAATAATTATTTAGTAAAGTGCAGTGGAGAGCTTATTATATATGACTAAGATATTGCAAGGCAAAATTTGGATAGTGTGCAGAAATGCATTTAAAAGAGTAAATGGTTTTCGTCAGCATAGTATTAATATTGAAATATACAGAGTTGTTTTCAAATGAATACTTTCATTTCTTCACGATATTTAAAAATAACTAGCTTGTGAAATAGCAATAATTCCTTCATTCAATTTGACAATTCCTTGTTACTCTGTCATCTCTATCTCTATAATAGTCAATTCGTATAATGAAAATTGCTAATAAAAATATATATCGAAATTTAATTAAAACGTGTATACTGAGCAAGCATTGTCCTTCCTCGGAACGATAATCGTTATTTACATAAGTAAGATATGTTTCTACTGTTTTGAAAAACGAATATGTTATTACGATACATATAGTCTTGAAACCATTTCCATTCGGTTAACTTCAGTATAATAACAAACGAAACGGGAACGAGTTAAGATATTATCAGATGAAATACCTAAAATACTAAAATAATCAATGAATATGTTGAAATTGTAATATATTCATGAACATTATTTGGTGTAGAACAGTATTATATGTCTGTTAATTCAATTGAAAGTAGAGTCCATAAAGTGATTTAAAAGTCACCACCCTATAAATGCCACATGAATACTACATATATGGAAGAATTTTAAGATGAATATTCAACACAGGGAAAATTATTTAAATGATGACACTATTTACAGGATGATTTATTTAGAGATAGTTTGAGTTCACATTATGAGTATTTTGATATAGTTAGTAGTTTTTTTCTGAATATTTTCACACAGGATCTTGAAATAGGAGAAACAACGATATACCTAGATTTAGATTTAAATTGTTTAAATTTCAAAATTGTCACGACGTGTGAATAGTTTACATAAAATTATAATTTAACATGAAAGGAAAGTTTACTTGATTAATAATGTCCTATAATTTAATTAACGATTAGTCTCATCTTTTTACTTTGCATATTGTTAATCATTTTATAATAAATCATGTCGGGGCCTTTAATAGTTACCATACAGTTTTTCCCAACTTTAAACATCGTAC